TGATTTCTCGATCTTCCTTATTTGATCGTATCAGGGAGCATCAGTATGATAACCCTCATTTGCTCGTCCTCAAGGACAAGGTTCTGCACGGTGATGCCAGTGATGTGACTATTGGTGATGACGGGGTATTGAGGATGCAAGGTCGGGTATGTGTACCCAATGTTGATGGGCTTTGGGAGTTGATTCTAGAAGAGGCCCATAGTTCACGATATTCCATCCATTCGGGTGCCGCGAAGATGTACCAGGATTTGAGACAGCACTATTGGTGGAGGCGATGAAGAAGGATATAGTTGGGTTTGTAGCTCGGTGCCTCAATTGTTAGTAGGTAAAGTATGAGCACCAGAGACCGGATGGGTTACTTCAGCAGATAGAGATTCCGAAGTGGAAGGCGGAGAGGATCACCATGGACTTAGTAGTTGGACTTCCACTTCATTCCCTTGTGTACTACCTATTCTTCAGAGCGGTTGACGGAGATTTATATCCAGGAGATTGTTCGTCTGCATGGTATTCCAGTTTCTATCATTTCAGATAGAGGTACTCAGTTCACATCACGATTCTGGAGAGCCGTACAACATGAGTAGGGTACTCGGGTGGAGTTGAGCACAACATTTCACCCCCAGATGGACGAATAGACCGAGCGCACTATTTAGATTCTTGAGGATATGCTCCGTGCGTGTGTGATGGAGTTTGGAGGTTCTTGGGATCAGTTCTTGCCACTAGCAGAGTTTTCCCACAACAACAGTTATCAATCCAGCATTCAGTTGGCACCGCATGAGACTTTGTATGGTAGGCGGTGTAGATCCCCGACGGGTTGGTTCGAGCTGGGCGAGGCTAGATTGTTGGGCACAAACTTGGTTCAGGATATCTTGGAGAAGGTTAAGGTGATTCAGGATAGACTCCGTACAGCCCAGTCCAGACAGAAGAGTTACGCAGACCGAAAGGTTCATGATGTTTCATATATGGCTGGAGAGCGGGACTTGCTTCGGGTTTCGCCTATGAAGAGCGTTATGAGATTTGGGAAGAAGGGGAAATTGAGTCCGAGGTTTATTGGTCCTTTTGAGATATTGCGACATGTTGGAGAGGTTGCTTATGAGCTTGCCTTACCTCCCAGCTTGGTAGGAGTTCATCCGGTATTTCATGTTTCGATGCTCTGGAAGTATCATGGTGATCTATCGCACGTGTTGGATTTCAGTTCCATTCAGTTAGACAAGGATCTATCTTATGTTGAAGAGCTAGTGGCGATATTGGACAGGCAGGTTCGAAAGCTGAAGTCAAAGAACATTACATTAGTGAAGGTTCAATGGTGGGGTCAGCAGGTCGAGGAGGCAACTTGGGAGATCGAGCAGGATATGCGCAGCCATTACCCTCATCTTTTCACTACTCCAGTTATGTCTCTATACGTTCGAGGAAGAACGAATGTTTTAAGGGGGAGGATGTAACGACCTGGCCAGTCATTTTAAGAATTAATACCCCGATCCCCTATTAACTGCTTTCCCCGTATTTGTTTCTGCTATTTTGATTTACCGGGATGATTCGTTGTAAATTTCGGAGTATTTTGGGACACTTAGTCCCTCAATGAGAGCCTAAACTTTAGAATTTGGACCGTAGTCAGAGCAGTGTAAAGACGGCCTCGGAATGGAATTCTGTTGATTCTGTTAGCTCCGTTGGGTGATTTCGAGCTTAGGGGCGTGTTCGGATTGTGTTTTGTAGGTTCGTAGCTTATTAAAGCTTGAAATGCCGAAAATTGAATTTTTGAAGTTTCCGGATCAATAGTGAAAATTTGATATCAGGGTTGGAATCCAATTCCGAAAGATGGAATAGCTCTGTAGTGTTGAATGTGACTTGTGTGCAAAATTTGGGGTCAATCGGACTTGGTTTGATTGGTTTCGGCATTGGTTGTAGGATTCTTGAAATTTCAAGCTCTTTAGGTTTGGATTGGAGGGTGATTCGTGGTTTTAACGTTGTTTGATGTGATTTGGGGGTTGGACTAAGTGCGTATGATATTTTAGGATTGGTTGAGGTCCCGAGGGCCTCGGGTGTATTTTGGATGCTCAATGGACCATTTTTGGACTTGGAGAAGGATCAGATTTTTTTGTTTTTTCTGTTGCAGACTTTCCTTCATCGCAATCGCACGAGGAGGCTTGCGATCGCGTAGGCTTAGCTGAGGCAGGGGGAGTTTTGTTCTTCACGATTGCGGAAAAAGGTATGCAAACGCGTATTATCGGTAGAAGGTTCAATCGTGAACGCATGGGCTATGTCGCGCTCGCGAAGAAGAAGTGAGGCAGTTGTGGAGAGGAGAGTTTCTCTTCGCGATCGCGTGAGGTCAACCGCGATCGCATAGATCGGAGCAGTGCAAGAATCGTGTTCGCGTGGAGAGTGTCGCGTTCGGGTAGGGTAAATCTGGGAGCCAGCGAAGTTGTTCTTCATGATCACGTGGGAGCTTCCGCGATCGCAATTAAGATCGCGTCTAGGCAGAACATAAATTTCAAAATCGAGGGTTTTGAGTTCATATCATAAAATTTAATTGGGAGCTCGGTAGGAGACGAATTTTGGAGAGATTTTCGGAAGAAGTTTGCGGGTAATGATTACTAACTCCTTTTTGCTTATAACCCATTAATCTAAACACAAATTCATCATCTAATTTGGGATTTGGGGTGAGAAATTGGGAAAAATTTGAGAAAATTTCTTAGGCCTAATTTTGGGGTTTTGATCAAGATTTAGGTATCAGATTGGAGTACTTTTGGTATAGTTAAACTCGTGAGTGGATGGGTATTCATAATTCGTAATTTTTACCTAATTCCGAGACGTGGGCCCGGGGAGGATTTTTGGGCGTTTTTCTATTTTCTTACCTTAGCTTTGATTCCTTTCGCTAAATTTTTTATTTACATTATGAATTTTATTTGATTAGATTTGGGCCACTCGGAGTTGGATACTCGTGGTAAGAGCGTGATTTCGGTTTAATTTTTGAGCTGGTTCGAGGTAAGTGGCTTGTATGGGGGAACTCCCCTTAGGATTTTGGTATTGTTGTTATATGAGTGCCGTGTACGTGAGGTGACGAGTGTGTGCACGTGCTAATTGTTGAAAAATCCCATTTCTATTAAGTAAATATTTGTGTTTTTCTTGTAATTTAGCAATGCTTGTACTTGAGGGCTCTTGTTTAGCTTAGGGAAAACATGTTTATGTGTTCTAAATGTCTTACCTGCTTTAACTGCTTACTTGTACTTTGTGTAGCATGTTTAGGGTAGAATTCTTGTTTATTCACGAATAGAACTATAGATTCTTTCTTGATACTATTGTTTGTTTACTTTGGGACTATGGGACGATATCCCGGGAGATCTCCCTGCATGTTTAATTTAGGACTACGGATCAGTATTCCGGAAGATCCCCCTGCACGTTTATATTTGGGACTACGGGACGACACCCGGGAGATTCCCCTGTACTGAATATTTACTTTGGGACTACGGATTGGTATTCTGGGAGATCCCCTGCACTTTTATGTTTGGGACTACGAGACAATATCCTGGGAGATCCCTTGTTGCTATCTCTATGTATTGAATTACATTCTTTTTGTGATTTTGTTTCTCTATTATCTGTTAGCGCTTAAATTATACTGTCACGTTTCGTACTGTTTACCTAGTTTTATGCATGTAACCAGTAGGGCCCTCTCGGTCGAGGTGTACTCATGCCCTTTCCTGCACATGTTTTTCGTATGCATATCCAGGTTCTTTGGCTCAGCCATATTATAAGTGAGGCGAGGCGATCTTCAGAGACTTCGAGGTATATCTACCGCGTCCGCAGACCGAGGAGTCCCTCTATATTCTCTCTTTTAGCTATAGGCCTTCTGTATTTTCCTTTGATTAGACATTCCGGAGTTAGAATATTATGTAGTATCCACAGCTTGTGATTTTATGAGATTCCGGATTTTGGGAGTTGATTCAGTTTGAGAGTGTGTATTTGTATATGCTGAGCGGAATCTTAAATGTTTATTATGTTTTATCCGCAGTTTTTGTTAGTTTTGTATTTCGTTTCCTTTTTCTGCAATCTGTTAGGCTTACCTAGTCGTAGAGACTAGGTGCCGTCACGATAGTTCACGGAGGGTGAACTTGGGTCGTGACAGAGGTGCCCCCAGTATCTGGTGTACATGGGAGTTATAAGTTTCTACCTTCTTATCATTGTCTTCAATTTTCTTTTCTTTGGACTCGATCCTCTTAGTAAGCTCTTCGAGCATCCTCATAATGGTAGGGTCAATCCCCGAATTATTTCCGTTCGATCTCTCCGGTACTGGTTCAGCATGTCGAGCATTTTCATGTTCAGTTGCGCTCAGAGTCTTATTCTGACTTTGAAGTTGAGCGATGGCGTTTTGCTGAGCTTGCAGCATCTCGAATATAACTTGGAGGCTGATTCCCCCACCTCCCATTCCTTGTGCTCCTTGGCCACCGGATTGGGTTTCCCTGTGTATATTTCCTTCAGGGTTCGCGCCTAGATCTGCATTCAAAGTGATGTGCAAACTAACATCAAATGGTTCCACATTTGGTACTTCTCCTGGGTTTATCGGTGGTACACCGACCCCTGCGTTGCTGTTTTCTCCAAGACCTTTGTTGTCATGAATGTGTGCGTTTTGTGAGCTGGACATGTTTCAACCTGAGAATCAAAAAATCTTGACAAGAAAAAGTGTAAAAACAATATGTGTAACGAGAATCAGTAAAGAAACAATCACTATTATCTTTAGCCCAACGGTGGGCGCCAAACTGTTTATCTTGAAAATACGAGAAACAATTAAATTTGATTTGTGGTTTTAAAAATATTTGATTTAGTTCAATACTAATTAATAATCAAGAAGTATGAAGTAGAAAATGAAAGAGACAAGTGAATCAAACCAATACTACTCAGGAGCAATGACCTCGAGCTTAGTGACCTCAAGGTAGTCTTAGAATAATAAGAATAATTAAGTAATAAAAGCAAAGTAAGAACAGTAGAGCTAAAGGACAATGCTGATGAACAGTAGGCGAAAAGATAGAGAGTATATTCTTTGCTCAATGATCAAATGATCTTACAAATGATTGGTGTCCCCCTTTATATAATAAGAGAACCCTAAATAAGGAATATTTCCATTTACAGTAGGAAATATTCTTAATACAACTGTCTAACCGCCTAGTACGGAATCGTACAATTTTATTCCGGGATTTGCGCCACGATTATGGGGACGTGGTAGGAATCTAGCTCATTCTATTACAAATTCCTAACGGTACTTTTCGGGGTCGAGTATACTCGGGCCTGGTATTCCTCGTACTCCTATCTCCAGGCATTGCACTTTGTCTTCGAGCTTGACTCTGGTCCACCGGTCTCGATCTCGACCTGGCCTGAACTCGAGCCTATGACGGACCTTCGATCCTGTAAATCGGAGGCCTCTGATTTTGACCGTATGCACTATTATATAATAGAGAATGGTAACATTAAAATTACAAACAACATAGTGAATTAAGAGAATGTTTAGGTAGCAAGTATCGTGTTATAGTATTAGTTAATTACGTGAAATATTATGCAGCAAATAGCGTCTTATAATCAAGTAATACTAGAGATAAATAGATTTTTGACTATAATGTGAGGATTAAAATATTTTTATGCATGAAACCAAATTTTGTACAACGTATATTATGTACATAAGAAACCTAACAATGTACGAATTTCGCGTTTTCCAAGTATACAAAATGTATACAATAAACCTAAAGTTGGGGCTTTTCTCAGTTTGCCTCGTGAAACAAATTGGGCTTTCGTCATAGGACAACCTAATCTCATAAGAGCCCCTACAAACACCCAAAGCAATCTGAGGCTATTACTTGACGGAATTTTGGGGAAACATAGATTGGGCTAGCCTGCAAAGATTTTGGGAAAAACTAGGTTAAAATAGCACGAGCTAGTTAGCTTTTGAACTGGTTATTCAAAAATAGTCAGCGTTTATAAAGTTATTGAAAAATAGTCACTATTTGCTGCAGCACAGAAAGTTCCAGTATAATATATGGGAGATTTTTCAGTATATTATGTTGGGCCGGTATATTATACTGGACATCCAATGTAATATACTGGAACTCCAGTATAATATACTGGAAATTAGATCATCGGTGCTCCAATCTCCAGTATATTATGCTGGACCGATATATTATACTGGAACTCTAGCATATTAAACTGGAGTTCCAGTATATTATACTGGAACTCCAGTAGTATAATATACTAGAGTATTTTCCGAATTTTGAATAGTGTTTTCGTACAGATTTATCTTTACATGAAAAATGCTAAAATTCGATTGCTTTTGAAACTGTGGCTATTTTTGAATGATCACTTGTAAATCTGGCTATTTTTAAATTTCTTGCAAAAAACTAGGGGAAAAAAACATATTTGGACAATATGTAAAAAAAAATTACGAAGTTCACGATTAGCCACTAATAACACATGTATTTACTTTTAAGCCACTGTTTAAAATGTCTTTAGTCTTTAGCCACTGTTTTAATAAACTTTAACTGCCCGGACGAAAATACTCTTCTGCTCATGTCCTTAACTTTTGAACTTAACTTCAGGACTACATGTCCTTAACTTTTGAACTTGGAACTGTAAGTTCAGGACCAAGTGTCCTTAACTTTTGAGTTTGTTAGTCTAAGTTCAGGACCTATTGTCCTTAACTTTTGGGTTTCTTAGCCTAAGTTCAGGACCTATTGTCCTCAACTTTTGAACTTGTTAGTCTAAGTTCAGGACTTCAGGACCTATTGTCCTTAACTTTTGAACTTGTAACTGTAAGTTCAGGACCTATTGTCCTTAACTTTGGGCTTCTTAGCCTAAGTTCAGGCTGCGGTCATCATCAGAACCCAATCATGAACCTCATCAATGTTAGCAGCAATAGAAGATGTAGGAATTATAGGTGCCACATCTAATTCGCATACCCGCTCAACAATTATAAGAACTATATGATCCGTTAGTGCAGGAATCAATCGCATCACTAACTCATCCAGATTGCCTATCGGTTGTTGATTGAGCATTTGGAGGTGTTGCTGACGATGTAGCATCAGATCCTAAAGAGCCATGAAGATTTGGCCCGTAGTAGCATTTTACTTGAGATCCAAGACCATATACTCTTCTTTTCTTTTCACCTCCCGCGGCTTGATAATATGCTTTACACTGATCAATATCAGATTGAGTTTGTGTTTGTTGTTATAATATCTCTTGATATTTTTCTTGTAGAAGAGTTAATAATTAGTAAAATAAAAAGACTAAATAATATTGAGCATTCAATTTACAAAATGAAAAAATATATGAAAGTAAAGTCAATAAAATTATTTAAAAAGTCATCTTACATGTACGATTCAGGATTTCTCAGCAACAAAAGATTTTCCATTATTACTATGTGTATGGGCGTGCAAATGCAACTCACTTGGTGTTGGATCACGACCCTTTTTAAGGGTCTACACAAAAGTTATTCAATTAAGAAGATAAACCTTAAGACTGTCAAGAATCAAGTTCAGTGCTAATATTGCTAAGGTGCCACCCCTGAAAATATTGAATGCCTTACTTTAAACCACCAAATTCTGTATGAGTAGCAGCTTAGAGGCAGATCTATAATGTCATATATGCGCATTCTTTACTTTCAACTTAAACTACTCACTATAAAAAAACTAGTTATAACATACAAATATATTGAATGAACATCAAATTTCAGGAAGTAACACTTCTAGATTTAAGGCAACTGAACGCTCACAATTTAAAAATCCTAATACATTTGGTTTCACCACTAACTTAAAATCTTGATATATGATTGTGGTTGACTTTTCATCCACACTTGCTAGTTAGCAGCTTGATAATGTCATTCCAGAAAGTGATGAATGAGCAGAACTAAGTAATTAATATTCAAGATTAAAAAAAAAAGGATAGTTTCTTTAACTTTATTTCAAGATGGAGTTCCCAAAGCAACATCACAAATGCCTATTATAATTTCTCATCACTGTAAAACCTTATAACTCCACATTTGTAATTCAAAAAACTGTCGGTTGAAGCAATTGGTTAAAAAAAATTATTTCTGTAGAAATCAAGGCTGATGAGATGTTAAGTTCACTTGGGATGACAACTCAGAAATTTCCATGAAATAGTCTTAAATGATTAATTTTTTTTAAGGAAATAATAATAGACATCATACCAAATATTTTGTTTAAAAAATGTATGTCAATCTTGAGAGACCTTGGCCAATGCAAATATGAAACACCCAATTAGAGTAATTAAGAACTTGTTAGAGTCAACATCAGAAAACCCCATCTGACTTTTGACCTCAAAAACTTGTAAAGATACATTCATAGTCTTAAGAAAAAAAATTGAAAATGCAAGCACTTTGAAACCAAAATTCAGAACAAAATCGTTGAAAAAGGTAAGAAGATCACAATGCACAGATCCAAAGACAGAATCAACAGTCACAAAACTTGCACAAACAAAAGGCAGAAATAAAGACAAGACAATTAAAAAAAAGAAAGATAAGAGAGATGAAACAACACCAACATCCCAATACAGCAAATATACAACTAGAAGAGGATAAACACATAAAAAGAGGACCTTTACAAGAGAAATCCACTAAAATTATCATCAGAAAATGGAACAATGAACATAATTTCAAGAAATTAACAAAGACCAAGTCTTTTTTTTAAATGCTCAGCTTCAGAACAAAAAAACCAGCAAGATATATCCAGCTCCTAACTAACACCAAAGGAATCCAAGAAACCCCATCAACTAGAAAGAGGAGACTGTGCCTATCCATAAAGGATTTAAATTTTGCCTTGGAAGAAGAGAAACGAAGTGGTATACTGAATGTAACCTTAAATCTCTCAAACAACCAAAGAGATATAAAGTACTGAAATTTACAACTACTACAAAATCAAAGCAAAATGTAACAGATTAAAAAAGGGGAAAATTAGAATTTAAAATGAGTTTCTTGTGTTTTCTCCAATCCCCTTCTTGTAAGCATGCACAAGAAAAGAAAGGGAGAGAGGGAGATGTCCATGAAGCAGGACCAAGTACTTAGAAAAATTACATCACCTGACATGAGCTTATTCATAACACTAGTATCAACTAAAAGAAAATGATCTACATACACCTCCAGGATTCAGCTTTTACTGCAATAGCACTACAAGTTGACAACTAAAAAAGGGAAGAATCACATAAAATGGAACATTATTAGTATCTGTTTGAGATTATGGTTGAATTTCATTATGGTTTTGCCTCTTTTTTTTTAACCAGAGAACCAGCTCCGTCAGTTCAATTCAAACTCAATCAAACAGTCTCAACTCAGATGTCTTCTGCAACAAAGAATCCCAAGGAACTATCAAAAAGCTGGGCAGATCAAGCAGATGAGAAAAAAGGGAATGAGGTAGACTCGCTAGACAGTCATGTGTCAATTTATAAGGAAAATGCAAGTCCTACCAATGCACAAAAGTTCAATAAACATAACTCAAACGCAGAATATTAAAAATAGAACAAGAGACAATCCGCAGCTCACAACTTTAGTAACCTACTTAAATGAGATTCAGATTCGAATTAGAGCAAACCTAAATGAGATTTTTAGATATTTTATATACACTCACAAGTCTCTTGCGATGCTCCCCAACACTGATAGAGCCACCCGTGTGAGCCACCGGATAATATTTTGTGCTTATTAATGGTCCATGAGCAAGACTACGCAAGAATTGGTTCTCAATGTGGTTGCATCGAACCTATTTCAAAAAAATTATAAGACTTAGTTAAATATAACAAGCCAATTCAAGAACATAATTGCTTAAAAGATAATGATTTTTATAGTCTTACATATTCCTTGAACCATATAGCAAAATACGTTTCGAAACTCTCATTTATTTGATCCTGATATAGATTGGGGAATTCTTCTTGCAACCGTTGTATGTATATACTTCATTGCAACAAAATAAGTTAAATACAAACTCAAAATATATGGATATATTTATTATTATAAAAATGATACCTTACAAACGGCTCAACCTCTACACAATTTAGTAGAATATAAGTTTGGGATGCCTTGATTTCTTCGAGGGACAAACTTCTCTTTTTTCCTTCTCCCCATAGTCAGCCTAGATGGGTGAATATTGATAAATTTCTTTCAAGATCTTCCATAACACCATCATCATCATTACGGGCCACATTATGATTACGTGTCATGACATGAGGTTTAAAATAATGAGAAAACAATTGTATTGATTCCATCATCAAGTATGCTTCACAAATTGAACTATTATGGAAATATTAGACTTTGAATATTTCACGCAAAAAATAAATAATTAGCACATTCATATGTTCATCTTCTCGAAATATTAGACTTTGAAGGGAGAAATTCAACTACTGAATCGTCCTTTCTTCTAATACTCCATTAATTAACTCTGGGATTCCAGTCCATCTCCTCCAATTCTTCTCACAACACATGTAATGTACTAACATTAGACCTCAAAATTACACGCAATTAGCCTCAAAATGACCTTTCTTCACCATTATATGTACTACTCTATTTCAAACACAGATTTTTTTTAGCAATAAATATCATCCACAATGGGATAAGTCTCCCAAAATGAAAATAAAGGAAAGAACAATGAACATCGTGGCTTTTCAATGTAGCTTATGTATTTTTGTTAAGTACTGTTGTCAAATCGTCTAAACAGCACTTGACCGTCCATAAGCACTATTTCAAACACAGAATTAGTTGATGCTATATGCATGCCAGAGTAATTTTCCCTCTAAGAAATTATTATAAATGAGTGACTGCTTTAACCAACATTCATCCTTTAGCAGCAAAAGACATACAACCTCCACCCAACAGATTTCCAGGCCTAACTGAAACTACTAACTCTGCTATAAATAAACAGGACTAAACATCAAACAGATAGAGAAGATGATGGTCTGAGAGGTCAGCTTGTTGCTCCAAAGCAAAATAAAGCACAAGACAGGATGAACATGATTCTCGCCCAGATCTACAATACATAATGAAATCACAAAGAAGCTTACCTTTTCAAGGGCATACAATCCCTAAAATCAACGCACGACTTCAAATTTCAAAATTTTGCAAACACACGACTTCGAATTTCAAATTTTCGTAGCAAAAATTTTGCAATTTTGAAAGTTTTCTTCCTATTTTTCAGACATTAACCCTAGATTCACGCCCAATTTTTTGTATTTGAAGAAAAAAACTCACGAAGAGGAGTGAAAGTGGGAGTCTGATAGAGAGGAGAGAAAGGGGGCGTGTTTGTGCCCTAATTGTTGGAATGTTTTTTAGCTAGGGTAATTTCACTTTGACGAAAAATTTTAGCAACTGAAATAGCGACGGCCTAAATTTCTGTCGCTAATAATAATTAATGAAATTTTATTTTAAGGAAATTAGCTACTGAAATTTTGTCGCAGCTAACTTTCAATGTCTTCATAAGTAAAATGAATTCAGCTATGGATTTTTTGACGTTAAATCCGTCGCTAAGTTTTAATAATTTTGTCGCCCAACTTTCGTCGTTAATTTTGTAGGTAAAATTGAGCGCCAATTTTAGCGACGAGTATATTTTGTTGTCGCTAATCCTCCTCTATATTTGATACGAATTATTTTGTAGTTTATTTGGCGACAAACTATAAAATTCGTCGCTAATTCGTCGTTATTTAGCTACGGAATACCTTTTGTCGCTAAATTCCGTCGCTAAATACTGTTTTTTTGTAGTGATGGCTACTATTGCTAAACATTAAATATACTGGATAAAAAGTAAATATCACTTTAAAAAGTGACTATCCCAAACAATTTTTACTAAATTCTAGTAGCAGTTACTACATTTCTAGCATAAACATATAATGCTGGACCAATCCCATTAAATTAGGGATTAGTAATTAATGGTAATCCACATAACTTTTGAAGTTTTCCCCACAATTTTCTCTCCCCCATTTAATACCGTGTACCTTAAACCAAGGGGTGTCAATGGATATTCGAAAACCGACTAAACCGATCGAACCGTACTGCACCGAACCGATTTTTAGATTTCTTTTTAAAAAACCGTAGGTTTTTATATAAATCTATAACCGCACCGATAATTAGGGTAGGTTTTTTATTTTATAAAAATAAACCGAAAAAAAAAACCGAACCGTACTGAATAAATTTTACATGTAGAAAATATATTTATTTAGTAAGTTTAAAAATAATAATGCATTAAATTTTCTTTGAGCCTTGGAATTATGAAAAATATTACAAGCCAACAAGTAATTAAACTCAAAATACTAATTCCTAAAATCTATTATCCTACTCTTACTTAAACTAAGTTATTTCAAGTATCTTTATTAGCAAGACACAAAGTATTCTAGCAATTATGAGTAACAAACTACAATGTATTGAATATGTTTCCTTTCATATAATTTAGATTTATCTTTTTGAATACTTAATCTTCTATAGACTTTATTCTTGAGTCCTAGCTTGGTATATCTTTCAACTCGTGTGATTAATATTTTCTTTGCCTTTGTTTGATTTCCTTTACGCTGTTGTAGAATAGTTGATTGACCTATGCTCTAGCCATATTTCCTTTTTTTTTAATTCATCACCCTTTAAACAGTAAAAATGTCTAGAGAGTTTTTGCTAAGTCCTATAAAAGAACGTACGTTATTGCAATTCTACTTCTACTGGTGAATTTTAACCGATACCGAAGAGAAACCGACATGATTGGGACGGTTTCGAAAAGTTTAATTTTGGTTATACATAATAGAATAACCGAAAAATTGGTATGGTACAAATTTTATAAAATAACCGACCGAACCGAACCATTGACACCCCTACTTAAAACCCTCACTTTCTCCTCTTTTTTGAATACTTGTACAGTTATAAATTTTCTTCACCCTAAATCCTTTCCTTCTGCGTCTATTCAATCCAGCTTTGATCTTCAATTTATTCCTTATTTCATCCCTCCTTCAAGTAACTGATTTTACCTCTATTTTTATACTTATACGTAGTATATTAAATTTAATTATTCAATGTGTTGTATAATTATTAAAAACATGATGAATAATGATGGTATATATGAATATATTACTAGTATATCTTAATCGTATATATAGATTAAATTATACTTGTGAATTACTATCATATACAACATATTTTAATGGTATACAGATATTAATAATTCTTTGAGAAAATACATGATGAAGCTTATAATATAATATTATTGGTATAGTATTTATATTATTTGGCTATACGTAGTATATAATTCTGTTAACATATAGTTGTCTAATGCATGAACATATACGATGTATATTCAGAATATATTAAATTTAATAAGTCAATTAACTGTATATTTATTAAATTATTTCATATATTCAGTGTATATATACCTCATATATACTACCTCAAGGATAAACCACTGTCACCACAACTACTCCATACACAACTTTCACCACCGTACTAGTCAATCTTCAAAAACATCATTTAGCACATCATTTTTAAGGAATTTTTACATTCCTATGCCATATAAGAAACTATATTACCCTAAATATTTAAGGTTTGATTTAATTACATTTAGTATACCTAATTACCAATTTTATACCATAAGGTGTTTTAACTGTACATTAATTGTACCTTATATCACTCCTAAATTAATGGTACCGTATATTCTTCCATATCCCCACCCCCACGTTTCTCTCTCCTAAACTCACAACCTCACCCACGTATCACGACACACACACGATTCTAGCCATTATTCCCTCGGCTAAAACCAGAAAAACAAAGGTAACCATCTACCATTAACGTCCAAAATCAAGGTTTTTCTTCTACAAAACTAGTCAAAATTGAAGTCAAATCTTCAATTTCGTTCATACACACATTTACCTACAACTTCAAAATTTCTCAATGAAGAAGAACAAAGTTTCAAAACACAGCCCTAAAAAAGATATAGAATCAGATGTACCTTCTTTCGATTTGGGTGTATTATCACCACATTCACCCTAAAAGCAAGGAAAATTTGCACTTGCAATTGTAGATATGAAGCATAGTGTTTCTCCGTGTCAAATCAGGGCTGAAGCTAGAACTAAACAAAAACATGATTTCGATGTTGGAGAATCTTCGAGGCCAATCAAACAAGCGGATAGGAAACGAAAAGGGTAGTTCTAGATGATGATTTTGTAGAAGATGTGCCTATCAGTAAACCTGGAAAGAAAGCTAAGGTGACTCCCAGTTCAAAAACTCTCAAAAAGAAGAAAAATTCAAAAAAAAACCCTAGTGTTAAAACTCCTAAAAATGTTCGAAAACACTCATTGGTGAAGGTAAGAATTTTTAAATTTCTTCACTACTTATTTCACATGTTTTAGTTGTTAAAAATCTACATAATCTGTGTTTTTTTTATTTGTAAATTTTTTGTAGAAATGTTGTATATAAATTGCATATGTATCTATATTTTTAAGCAATGAAATTATGTGAGATTATTTGTCTTAATTTTATAGTTTAATTGTAGATTTGTTGATCTCTTTAACATTGTTGTTATATTGTATATTTTTGAAGTTATTTTGTAGAAACATATAAAGTATCAGTGTTTTTTAATTATTGTATTAATGTTAGATTAGATTTGTTGAATTTTGCAGAATGGACATTTTTTTGCATCCCATAATGTTGATTATAGGGTGCTTAGATTCCAGACATTATGTGACCCTAGCATTCCTAGCCAAATTAAAGTGCTTTTGTCTCCAAATGGTTTGAAGCTGTTCAAGAAGACATGCTTTGGTTATTTACTATCATTTCCCAATTTATGCATGCAAAATCAAGCTATTCATGTTCTTATGAAGTATGAATTGAAATCATCTGATGCTTCCTATTTTACAGTTGAGTTAAAAGGTGAGAGGTTAAATTTTGGATTGAGAGAGTTTGCAGTAATAACTGGTCTTAGATGTCATACTGAGGTAACAGACTTTGGTTACACTCCTAGTTATGTCAGTAAGATAATGAGTAGTTACTTTCCAAACAAGGTAAAAGTGGAGAAGACATACCTAAAACAGATAGTAACCACTAAAAGTTGGATCAATGATGAGGATGCAGTCAAGTTATGTATTCTATATCTCATAGAATACTTCATTTGTCCTTCATAGAGAGACCATATTGGGTTGGTAGATCATTTTAGGTTTTATTTGGTTGAATCCGGTCAGTACGAGTCATTTCCATGGGGTGTTCAGTCTTACAGACAGTTGATTGAATCTGTTAGGCACGGGCTAAATCCTTTTGTTCATTCTTATCTCATTCAAGGATTCCCACTAGTCATGCAAGTATGATTGTATGAGTGTTGCTCCTCCGTCAACATTGATATAGCTACAAAAAATTCTAATTCAATCTCTCGCATACTAAACTGGTCAGCTGCTAAGGGTCAGATTTGGTTAGCTGCAATTAAAGACAAAATTATCAAGCCTGAATGGATGAAGGTAAATGGTCTTTATTTATGATAATACAATTTATCTACAAAATATCTACATTTTGTATACATATTCTGCCTTAAACAAGCTAATTTATTTTTTTCACCATTCAGTTCACCAACATAAATGCATCACCTGAAGAGCTTTCAGTGATGTCTTTGCCTGATAAAGTTGAGTACACAATTGAAGAGGTTGAACATATTTCTGAGAATCCACAAGTTGATGCTCCTCCATTGGAACCCAAAGAATCAATTGGAAAAGAAGAAAATGAGTCTATTCTTCGTAAAATAAAAAAGTTAAAAAGAGGTGTTGAGAAGGTAACATGTAGTCCTAAAAAGCATTCTGATTTTTATATAATAGTGTATCTGTTTTTTAATACATATTTCTGAAGGTAACTATATATATTTTTTATTATGTAGGTCGATGAAAAGCTTGAAAAATTTAGGAAAGATGTATTTGAAGAACTAGGTAGCCTTCGAGACCTAATAAAGGATTCAGTCAAGACTGTTTTGCAGGTGATAAACAATCCAAATGATCAAGTTGATGCAAAAGTAACATTTGATTCTTAATCATATTAACAAAACTATTTATGTCACCTCTAAAATATATATCCTAACTAATATAAAACTTGCAGTTTGCTGGGAGTTCAACAAAAAATACTGACCAACCAAAAGACAAGAACAATCAGCAATTTTAGTTCAATAGTGGTGAAACAGTGCAGGTCAGCCCCAGCAAAATATGTATCTACAATATATCTCCAGTATATCTACAATTACATACAAAATATCTATAAAAAAACTACAAATTATCTACAACATAACTACAATTTATCTACATTATATATACACAATATATACAATTAAATCCAGCTTATTT